ACAGGAAACAGGCAAGTTGCCTCAAGCACCAGCAACCCCCCCCCAGCACAGCGACCAAGCAGTAAACAAGTCAATATTGATCCACTACAAGGTCATCTATATCATATAGAAACCAGATTTAAACATTACAAGCATACACCAAATGGAAAGAGACATCTGCCAGAAGAATCAAGGCAATATCTTTATCTAATTTATCTCTTTATAATTCTATATATCCGCATAATCATTGCCTTGGTTATATCCCTCCATGGGGAAGCAAGTAAAACGCATCCTAATAGCCAAGGCTGTGATCATGTAAGTCAATGTTCAGAAGTAGCCTCACCCGATGACTAGACATATCCCCGAGTCGGCTTAATGACCACAGCCACTGTGCACAAGCTTAGAGTAAACCGGCACAGAAATCAGGACAAATTCCTAGTCATAACACACCCTACCATACACATCATCCTGAAACCTGGTTGCATGCATAATGGGCAGTTCCCTCACGTTCATCAACTACTCTTCCCAACGGAGCTGGGATGAAAAGTCAAGGATTCAACTACAAGCAAAAATTGCCTATCCATCGACAGCAATAAGTCCACCTGTAGTATACAGAGGCCAAAGAAAGCATAAGTGATGATGGACATGATCCTGCGAAGACGTCGGAAATAAGCCGACCGAGAAAAGCGCAAGGAATCACTAAAGAAAATCTTACGTCCAGAAGTGCGACGCAAGAACGATTTTCTTCCGGCTCCGGCCTAGCCAAAGAAGTAAGAAAAAGAACTAGAATAGGCAAAACATAGAGGCATTTGCCTGACACCCTATAAATGCCTGCATTACCCGAGGTCACTTGCCACAGTGAGTCGACAATCGCAAAACCATTGATTCAACTGAGCCAGAACCGACCGTTATTACACGTCGAGCAGTGGAGAAGAGAGTAACAAACTCTTGACCAGGGCAATCCGAAAGTCAGTTACCGCACAACGCGACCTGGTCCAGTACTCGCAACTAGTAGTAAAAACGCAAGTGCCTAGGGCGTTTGTCAAGGATTAGTTCTATTCACCATGTCCTCACCTGCCAACCCAACGCATTGCCCCAAGGAGCAGTTTCCCTAAGTCTGCCCTAAAGATCGACCAATCTGCCGTTGACCCACTTCACACGATAAGGCATGAGTTTTTTATGACGCATACAGAGGTAACACCAGTGCTATTTACTCCTCCAATGAAGAGAAGGACCGGCTTCATCACCCAACCTGACTGTTATAATAATGCCTTTTGGCTGAAAAACGAGGAAGCAACCTATCAGAGTTAGTAAACAAATGTAAACATCTATCGGCAAAATCATAGAAGTTTACAATGATACATTCGTAAAACCAAGGAGTCAAGTCATCTTCCAGACCTTAAAAAAATCTTGACATACCAAAAATATCGGACCATCAACCGCCATTCCTTCGGATTTGGGTCAGGAAATTTCTAGGCTATCTGCTAACAAGAAGGGCATAGAGCCAGCCCAACCATCAACCACATGCTACAGAGCCCAACACGCAAAGCAATCCAAAAGCTCACTGGAAGCCGCCCCTAACATCATCAGCCAGAAGCTTACAAGCAACCCTTCTTTAACCTGGTAAAAAAAAGCCACAGACTTTCTGTGAATCAAGAAATGTGAACACCTTAAGCCGGATCTGAAAAGACCTTACCACAACCCCAGTCCTTCTACCCTGTTCCAGGAGAAGAATTATTTTTTACTTGCAGCTCTGACACCAGTCAGCTTCATGCTAATCCGCGAGAAAAAGGGCAAGCAGAAATCGTCTATATGTAAGCAAACCTTTGGCACCATAAACAAACCTACCACTGGAACTTTATGCTAGCCTGTAATGCCTCAAAGAAACTAACATTACTACAGACACAAGATGTGTTCTAACAGACACCCATTGAATCCTTATTACACAAGGAGAAATAACAGGAAGGATAGCAAAATGCTGGCAGAACACTGGCAGTTTGACCTAGAATTCAGGCAAGAAACAGCCAATAAATGCCAAGTTGTGTGTCCGACTCGTCGCAAACTCCACACCTAACAATCTCAACCTCAGGCTCCGTCGACCGAATGAGCATCACCCGACAAACAAAAAGAAAACCCAGTCAAAGATCAAACAGCAAGAAGAAAGGCTCAGACCATCAGGCATCTCATCGCATCGTTCAGACTATATGGTCAGGAAGTTCAAAACCGCCAGGATCAGGGAAGAAGAACTGCTGATATCCCAATCGAAAAATTGTAGAACAATCATCCGATCTGGGTCAAAGCCTCCAATACGAAGCAAATACAGCATTATTGCATGACGAAACACAGCCAGCAGAGGCAGACGACGTAATGTTTGTGATTCGCAATTAATTGTTAACATCAACAGAGAATTGACAAGCCAGAGACGAAAGAATGTCGATATGCAAAGAATACCGACTGGCCCCTATTTCAGAACGCAATACTCCAAGTCCCGAATGACAACACCCATGCCACGCATACCAACCCTGGCCAGTCAATCAAACTGGAAAAAAACAAAGACCAATATGATCGACTAACTGTCGCCGATATAGATAAACAGAGCACCGAACAGAAAACAATGTGCTGGCGACCAAGCTGAGATGGGCAATCATTGGCTTCCTAAAAGAAGGAAGCTGCCAGAAACACAAAAAGCACATTAAAATAGGCTGAAATCCGCCAGATCGCCAACACGGAAGGCCATCTCTACAGGATCCCTTCACTGACCACTTAAAGTGCGTACACCCTGCGAGTGAAGATGTTTCTTTGAGATCCATGAAGAATCTTGTGAAAACCCATGCCGGGGCAATCGTTACCATACCATTACCCAGGGTCATTGCCCTATATGCAAAGGATGGCCAACCTATAAGAATGTGACAATGTCAAAGTTTGCACCTTGATACATCAGCCAGTCCGACCTAAACCAGGTCCAGCCCCTGCCGGTTTGCCCAATGGCCATGATCTGTGGGACAACTTCCCCAGCAACTGGGCAAGAAAATATTTATGTAAGCAACGGGACTACTTCAACAAAATGGATAGAGGAGAAACTCTGCCCAAAAATCGATGGATGTCACTAAGAATTATTTGGGCGAAACATAATCACTCAGATTGGGATTCCAAGAGCAATAGTTGCCGACAACGGAACACAGTTCGATAGTAAACTTGTCAAAAACTTCTGTGCAAAATTCAAGATCAAGAATTACTTCTCAACACGAGTTTTCCTCGAAGCAATGGGCAAGCAGAGGCATCCAACAAAGTAATCCTAGATGGAATAAAGAAGAGGCTCCAGGCAGCAAAAGGAAAGTGGGTGGACGAGTTGCCCAACGTACTTTAGGCATACCGGACTACGCCGTGAAAATCAACAGGAGAATCCCCCTTTGCCATGGCCTATGGCACAGAAGCAGTCATCCCATTGGAGATCGGCATCCCAGGGATCAGAACCCAGGGAGTAGAGAATGGCACCAATGACATACTCTTAGCCCGAGACCTGGATTTGTTGGAAGAACGAAGAGAGAAAGCTGCAATTCAGCTCGCAGTATACCAGGAACAACTTGCCAGAGCTTACAACAAGAAGGTTAATCCAAGAGATTTTCAAGTTGGCGACCTAATCCTAAGAAAAGTCGACTCTTAGCCCGAGACCTGGATTTACTGGAAGAACGAAGAGAGAAGGCTGCAATTCAACTTGCAGTATACCAGCAACAACTTGCCAGAGCTTACAACAAGAGAGTCAATCCAAGAGATTTTCAAGTTGGCGACCTAGTCCTACGAAAAGTCGTCGGGAACAAGAAGGATCCCAGGGAGGGCAAGCTTGGCCCAAACTGGGAAGGACCCTACAGAATTACTTCAGTATTAGGGAATGGAGCATATCGGTTTGAGGACAATGAGGGCAAAGCATTGCCCAGACCTTGGAATACTTGTAATTTGAAATTCTTCTATCATTAGATAAACATCATTGTTTGGCCGATATCATCAATAAAGTCTTTTCAGAATTCTTTCAACATATATGATTGATAAAGTTATACATGGATGTTTATTGAAGACAAATCAAGCTCAGGCGAAGCTAGGCCGATGTTATTCCTTAATTCACTTGTTGAAATTTGCAGCAATTTACAAGTCGAAGATAGGCCGATGCCATTGCTTAAGCCCTCATAGCAATATGTGGGTTGTTTGAACCCCAATAAAGATGCTTAACACTTGTTGAAATTTGTAGCAATTTACAAGTTTATATTAAACCGAAATATGATCACCCGCAGAGGTATACGGAAGGACACAGGTTAAAATAAAGGTTAAGTATATTGTTCATTATTTGTTGAAATTTGTAGCAATTTACAAATAGATTACCATTTAGTACTTGTTAAGAACTAAGAAAAAGCTTGCAAAGTTTACATTCCGAAGTATATGTTCTATACTTGTTGAAATTTGTGAGAAGTTTGCAGGTTAGTACCCTGCCGAAGTAAAAACTTAGTGGTTGTACCCGGGGTATGGAACCCCTAAGCCGACATATGATCACCCGCAGAGGTATACGGAAGGACACAGGTTAAAATAAAGGTTAAGTATATTGTTCATTATTTGTTGAAATTTGTAGCAATTTACAAATAGATTACCATTTAGTACTTGTTAAGAACTAAGAAGAAGCTTGCAAAGTTTACATTCCGAAGTATATGTTCTATACTTGTTGAAATTTGTGAGAAGTTTGCAGGTTAGTACCCTGCCGAAGTAAAAGATTTAGTGATTGTACCCGGGGTGTGGAACCCCGAGAAGATTGCACCAAGGAAGCAACATGAAGAAGCATGCAAAAAACTTTCTACGTACAAAACTGTGCAAAAACAGTCAACAAAATATCACATCCAGAGGAAGAACTGTTGCAATTACACATTGAAGAAACCATGTCGGCCAAAGGAAGGAATTTTTTCATTATCCAGAGAGTAAGAAAGTACAAAGCGCAAAAAACAGTAAAAAGAAGGAAAAAACTACAAAAGACAATTTTTTCAAGACTCTTGAGCATCAGCCACAGCAAGAACTGGGACCTCGGACGATTCAGGTGGAATCTCCTCGGCCACTTTCTCCGCTTGTATTTCGGCATCTATCTCTGCCAATGTTGTGTCAAGACTTCTCTCAGTCAGAAGGAGGTCAGATGATGGACACCCTTGAACGGACTCCTTGGACACTTCCACAGCCTCATCACCCCCTTCATCTTGAGTTAAATCCAAAACTTGTTCAGCTGGAAGAGGGGACTTGGCCCCAGCAGTATCCTTGGGTTTCCTCACCAAGGCCTCCTCATCATTTTTCTCCTCGTCTTTAGCCTCAGCCTCTACCTCGGTCTCTGATTCGTCTTCAGTCTGACTTGGAGGAGGAAATGGTAAAGGAATAGCGTTGGCCTGGCGCAATGGCGAGTCAGCAGGGAGATCAAGCTTCTTTATCAGGGACATCCAACCAAGGGAAAATCCCCTGTTGCATGCCTGCCTGACTTGAAGCTTGTAGTCTTCTGCAACATCGGCCATGCCTTGAGCATAGGCCTTTTCATCGGCCTCTTTCACTTCGGCCTCCTTGGTGGCCAGAGCTTGTTGAAGTTCTTTTTGCGCCTGGACTTTCTGAGCTTCGGCCTCCCTTTTCTCGGCTTCAGCTACTTTTTTAACGGCTTCAGCAGCCTCGGCCTTTTCTAGAGCTAAGGTATGGTTCTTCGTTGCAGCCTCGGCCTGATCCTCCAGTTTTTTCATCTTTGCTTCAAGGGCCCTTATCTCTCTCTTCAGTGAAGATGTTTCCCTCTTCATATCAACCAATCTTTGACGATTTTCAAAAGATTGCATTGAAAATGAATGGGCATGTTGGATAGCCTGAATAAAAACAGAAGTGTCAGAAAATTTTCTCAGAAAGAAACAAAAGGAAAAAACACAAATACAAACAGAAATACTTACTTGGGCAGAGTGTTGGAGCATCAGAGCATAATTTTCATACTCACTGAACTTGGCATTTCGCTCCAAGTCATTCGGTAGAAGAAGAGCAGTGCTAAGGGCAACAGCAACGTTGATATCATCAGCACTTTCACTAGCCATGATAGGCCTGTCCTCCAGAGAAAGATCAGGGGCCCATGGGATGTCAGGCTTCTTTGAAGCCGAGGTCGTCGCAGACGATGACCTTGGCCTCTTTGTTTGTGTAGACCCTGAGGGTTGGCCCTCAGCAGACCTTTTGGTTGCAGTAGAGGTTGATTTTTTGCTTTCAGCTAGCTTCGAAATCGGCAGAGCATCCTCAGCCTCGGCGTCTGTAGCCTTGGCCTTAGGCTGAGCCTTTTTTACTCTCTTTTGTTTGGGAGGGAGCGTTGATTGCGCCGGTGCGGCTTCGGCATCAAGTGGAAGCCGAAGTCCACATTCGATAAAAGAAACTATTGGAAAAGGCATTGTATGGTCTGTAGGCACGATAGTGTCATTATCCCCAGCCAGCTTAAGATGAACGTCGGCTGGGATAGAGAATTCTTGCCTAAAGTATTCAAGACTTGTTGGGGTATTTACCCTATGCCTCCACATACCCATTATATCGACCTAAACTAAGAGGAATATGTTTCAGAAGATGGACGTTTTTCAGGTTTCCCTAAAGATTAAGGGTTTTACAGACAAATCCCAAATCTACGAATTATGAGGATAAAGATCGAGGGCACAGATCTAGGGCAGATACAAAAAAGAGAAAACAAAAACGAAGTTTCAGAATCAAGAACAGCGGCAAAGAAAATGATGGAAAAGCATAGAGGTTCAAAATATAGCCACAAAATTCAAGATACAGATAGATCCCAGACCTCGAGTAAGATCAGTAATGGCAACAGACTGACAATAGCACATAAAAAGAATGAAAGAAATTAAAGGAAGGGGGCTTACCAGGACAAGTGAAGCCAAGGCAATACTCGTCGAACCCAGAAACCAGTTGCGACAGCAAAAAAAGGCTTTGCAAGAAATACGGGACTAAGAACAGTTCCAGAGGAGAAATTGAAGCAATGGTAGATTTGAAAAGGAAGAACGAGCTTTCGGAAGAGAAAGAGTAAAGAAGATGGAAAGAAAAAGTGAAGAAAAGATAAAGGCAAAAGAAGTTTTGTCAAAAATTTGAAACGGCGGCAAAAATAACTGTTTGAACCTTTTCCGGTCGACCGGTGGATCGACCGGATGGACGTCCGGTAGGTTGACCGATGGCCCACTTGCAACGTTACAATACAGTGAATTAGTGAAGGCTCACGCAGATTCTTAGTTTGATAAAAAATTTGCTCCGTTCTCAGTTTGGTGAAACTATTGGAGCAGAAAAAGTGATTTTTTTCGTTAAATTTAAATTTGATACTGAATCTGATGCAACGTTAGAGGTGATCTAAGATGTAAGAAAAGTTTGAATTGCATGGTATAACAAACCAATCATAACATGCTATATAAGTGCATTCTATCATGCTATATATGTATATATATTGATTTAGTGGGATGAATTGAATTTAAAGTGATTACATTTAGATGGTAGAATTCACTTTCTAATGTGATATTTTTTTATTAAATTGTAATACTATATGTCGGTAATGATATACATATATGCGACATATTGTTAGTGTTTGGAATCTTAGTCCCAAAATTCATGAATTAGCATGTATAAGCATTTTCATCAAATTAGTTCAACTTTTGTACAATTTTAGTTTTAAAGTTACTTTTTATATTTTGACTATATACATTTTAAATATACACTTCAACAAATGCTATCTTGTCTGTTATTTAAATATTATTTTATTAATTTTAATTTAAAATTAATTTTTATAAACTCTACGCAACTAATTCTAAAATATCAAAAATAATATTTTTTCATATTTGATTAGTCCAAAGCGCTTATATTTGTTGAGTCAAATCTGCCAAAACTAAATTAGCTTACATAATAATTAGTTTGATGTAGTCAAAATTTAATGATTTACTTATTATTTGAACTTAAAGATAAAAAATAAAATAAAAATAATAAAACTAATTTGATAGAAATGCTCTACTGCGTCGCAAAATATAGCATCTTTTAAGGAAATTTTTTTTATTGGGACCAAAAAAAAAAAAAAATCAAAAGGTTGCAGTTTACATTGACCAAATTAAAAACTCAATATTTATTTTGTTACTAGGGTCAATTTGTTGCGGTTTACATTGACCAAATTAAAAACTCAATATTTATTTTGTTACAAGGGTCGATTTCTTTTTTTTTTGTTTTATTTATTTTTCAATCTTAACTATCAATCTATTTTCGTTAAGAAAAATCGATGGAAAAAAAATATATATATATATTTTAGTCATTAAACTTAACAAAAAAAATATATTTTAGACATTTTATGTATACTTGCATTGAGTTTGAAGACTAAAATACATGTTTTTCATTGGTTTTACTTAAAGAAAATAGATTAATAATTTAGATTAAAAACAAATCACAAGATTAAGATTTAAATTTACAAAATAAAAAAAGGTTGAACTTTCCTGTCTAGGTCCGTGGGGTCCACCACAAGCTCAATTTTGATGAATCAAACCGTTCATTTTATCGAGTCTTGCATGTATATTGCCCATAAAAAATTTAGGTCAATCTGATATTTGTAGCCATTTTCATTTTATCGAGCTTGCCCCTAAAAAATTAGCGGTTAATGTGTTTTAAAAAATAGACTATTCATTTTATTTTTTTTTTGTACAAATGCAATAAAATAAATGGGTTACAAATATCAGATCAATCTAATTTTTTTGTAGATAATATACACACAAGATCCGACAAAATTAATAATTTGAATCATCAAAACGGGATCCATGATGCACCCCACGGCCCGAACAACTCCTTTTAGCCCAAATGATGGACTAGAGAGAATTCCAACTCATAATGTGAATATCCCAATATATAAACAAAAACAAAAAAACACATTCATAAATAAATCAAATTTAAGCCTGTCATTTTATACAGAAATGGGAAAACTCATCGACACACCTCATCAGATCAGAATAAGATTACAGAGTATGAATAGCGAGGGTTAAATTTAAGAGAACACTATGGTGCACACCTTTATATCCAGAATGGCATAATTTCAATTTTTTAAGTCATAATAAAAAAAAGTAATGCTATAATAATATGTGATATAACTAAAAAAAAGAAAGAAAAAGCACCGATGAAAAAAGAAAGAAAAAGAATTGCAAATAATTGAAAACCTAGATTTCCTAAGTCAGATAGAGAGAAGCAGAGGCGATAGAGGAGGTTGAGGATTGCAAATTTACTTCTATTCTCACAAGACACCGATGAAATCACCTAATTTGCAATGAAATCACCTGAAATTCAACAAATTGACAAGTATATTACAAGCTTGAGAACTCAAGAAAACGAGAGAGAGAGAGAGACAGCGAGACAGAGAGATAGAGATTGAGAGGGAGATTGAGGGACAGAGAAAGAGAGCGAGATTGAAAGAGCGATTCATACCGATGGAGATCTTCAGACGACAATGGCGAGCGGAAAAGCGAGAGAGCAGAGCTATGCATGTCTGTAATGCGAGAGAGAGAGAGAGAGAGAACAATCCGTGTTTTAATTTTTCTAAAACTAGGGCAAATATAAGGAAGGAAAACGGGTAAAAGAGGAATAAATTGGTTATTTGCGACGGCTGATCAAGTGGTCGCAAATTATGTAGTAGCAAAAGGTCCTTTTTCTAGTAGTGAGTAATTGTCAGAAAAAATAATTATAAAAATAAATAAATATGAATAATTAAAATAATAAATTTTTTATGAATATATAATAATTTTTAAAAATTATCACTGAATGATAATTTTTTCAATTGTTTAAGTATTATGACAAGATAGTACAATTTACAAAGCAACTAATAAGGCCAGAACCAGACTTATCCACTCTAATTTTTCTGAATAGATAATTGTGTTGTGAAAATTAAATTTGTGTAGTATAAGATTCATATGTAGAATAAATCTTAATCATGAGATAATAATTTTGAATAATTTCTAAGTAATTAAGTCTGATTTGATAATATTACTTGATACAAAATTGATGTGGTGTGAAAAACAAAAACAACAAAAAAAACATGTGAGTTGGTATGTAACATGACATTATAATAGAAAAATGTTCCTTAAAATCAAAGAAGACATGGCTTTAAGTATATTTTTTTGAGAAAATTAGTCTAAGGCCCATCTCTCATTTTTAGTAATAGAAGAGATTCGCAATATTATTTTGTGATGTGTAAGGTCCCTCACCCTTAACACCCATATATCACAGAGAAATTTGGTTATTTCAAATCAAATACGTCTCTCCCTCTCTTAACCTCTTTTCTCTCTCCACAACTTGCCATTTTTCTTCTCTCTCTACAAAAATCCTAATTTACTCTCTCTCCTCACTCTACCTCTCTCTACATATATGCATATAGTAGTTTCAGGTTTGAGCTTGAAGAACGTAGCAATGGAGGATGCAATGGAGCAAAAGCATAAATAGATTGAGTTCACTATAGCCTCTGTTTCGCCGCTCTCTTCGTCTTCTTCTTCTTCTTCTGCGGAACTTTGATTTTACCGAGAAATCGAAATGGAATAAGGCTATTCACATTGATCTTTGAGCTACTCAGGTTAACATTTCTTCTTGGGAAATTTAGCTTTGGTCTGTGTTTGGTTGCCGAGAAAAGAAAAAGGAAAAATCTTCGAGCTTCATGTCTGTTGTTTTAGATTCACTAACCGAAGTAGTGTTCGTGGAAAATTTGAAAAGTTTTTTGAATTTTCATTTCTGTTTGTTTTCTTGCACTTTCTCAGCAACCAAACAGATTTCCTTGACTTCTTTTGAGCAATCTTCTCCAAGTTCACCCAAATACTTCAATACATCTGCCCAAAGGGTTCACTTCCCTTACCTGAATATGTGTTTTTGTTTTTGTGATCTTGGAAGTGAATTTCTCTGGACTTTTATTTGAGTCCAGAGAAAATTAATTCAGAGAAATTTGGTATTGGTGATGCGTAAAATTTTCTCAGTGATCTGTCTAGGCAAATTTTGTGTTGGAGAAATGTAAAATTTTCTTTGTGATGTGTCCAGAGAAATTTGGTATTGGAGATGTGTACAATTTTCTCTGTGATATGTCAATAGAAATTTGGTGTTGGAGATGTGTAAAATTTCTCTGTGATCTATCTTGAGAAATTTGGTGTTAGTGATGTGTAAAATTTTCTCTGTGACGTGTCCAGAGAAATTTGGTGTTAGAGATATGTAAAATTTTCTCAGTGATGTGTCCACGGAAATTTGGTGTGGGTGATGTATAAAATTTTCTCTGTGATGTGTCCAAAGAAATTTGATGTCGGTGATGTGTAAAATTTTCTATCTGATATGTCCAGAGAAATTTGGTGTTGGAGATATATAAAATTTTCTCTGTGATGTGTCTAGAGAAATTTGCTGTTAGTGATGTGTAAAATTTTCTTTGTGATGCGTCCAAAGAAATTTGGTGTTGGAGATGTGTAAAATTTTCTCTATAATGTGTCCAAAGATATTTGGTGTTGGAGATGTGTAAATTTTTCTCTGTAATGTGTCTAGAGAATTTTTTTTTGTGATATGTAAAATTTTCTCCGTGTTATGTCGACAGAAAATTGGTGTCGGACATGTGTAAAAATTTCTTTGGATCGAATTTTCTTTGGAAAGTCAAGAGAAATTTTATGGATCGAATTTTCTTTGTATCGATGTTGAGGGACCTAAGCCATTATGAAAATATTGAGTGTCCTTTATGCTATAAAATCTTAATACTAGGAACCTTAAAAAAAATCCCTTATTTTTTTATAGAAAAATTAAAAGAAATTTTTTTTTTGGCCTATGTTATAAATCAAACCTTAACTTTTTAATTGTCAATATTTAAATCTTGAACTTTTAAGATAGTATCAAGTTGTTATGTAACTATTTTCAATTTTTTCCTAAGAAACTAAAAATTAATTTGGTAAAAACATAAAAATAATAATAATAAAAAAGTAATTATCATTTTATGTAGTTTTATCTTTTTGGAGGAAATTTTTTTTTAAAAAAATCATAAATATCTTTTTTGACATTTATTTTTATTAAACTAGTTTTCATTTTATTAAAAAAAATCAAAAATTAGTTTCAGAAAATCAAACCGAGCCTGGCCAATTCAAGAGTTGGCTTTATAAAATAGTATAAATAAATAATTTAGATGTATACATACAAAGTTAGTTCGCCCAATGGTTCTCAAAGCCCTCTTTTGGCAAGTGATTTTTTTAGAAGTTGGTGGCATCTCGTGATATGTTACATATTAATCTGTAATCATTTAATTGTTTTCACTTTGATTCCCAAATAAATGATATTTTGTACTTTAGTCTTTTTTTTCTTTTTTTTTTATTAGTAAAAGAAACTTTATTGATGAAAAAAGTAAGATACAAGTGAACTTTACATCAATAAAGAAGAGAAGTGCAAAGAGCATTATAACTATCCATAACAATCCCAACTAGATTGCCACCAATAAGGTAACACAATCATTTGCTAGCACTTAATTCAAGATTGGTGATGAACCAATCAAAAGGAGTCCGGATCCTCTCCAGCGTGTGAATCCCCGTCCGGTCCTCCGGATGACGGCTCAGATGAAGCCACGTTACCCTACAAGAAATGCATGGTTCAGATTTATTTCTTTAAACAAAAAAAATTCAAAACATACCACACTAAATCATTTCCTTTTTCCCTCACCCTTCTCTCTCTCCCTCACTGCACGCACAAATCCCACCACACACACACGCGCGCGCACACACACACACACTCTCTCTCTCTCTCTCTCTCTCTCTCTCTCTCTCTGCTTCTTCTTCAAGAAAGCTCTGGTTCTACAATAATATGGGCTGACCCCAGCTGCTTGCATTTATGACATCTATTCTTCTTCTTTTTTTTTCTCTTTTTTTTTTGTTTTGTGCTTCGTCTTCCTTACTTCACTAACAATTTTTTTTTTTCAGTTTGCACATTGTTCATTGCCGTTGCTACAGGCCCCGCCGTCATCAATACTTCACCTCGGCCCATCGACGCATCCACTCTGAGCTTTGGGTGCGTCTGATTTCGGTTTTGCTGCGTCAAATAGCACCGCCATTGGTTCAAATGCGACGGAGCAGCACTGTCCAACCTTCCTAGAGTCGTGCAACATTCCGATGGCCGTGGGCATCAGTGCCCCTTCTGTTGCTCACCGTCGGTGCTTCATTTTAGTATGACGACGCAGCTTCTCGGAGACCCAGACACATCAGAGCTCAGCACTGCTGACCAGCTCCGACGCCGATCTCTCTGCAACGTCATCCCCGTTGTCTTCGTCCTCAACTATCCAGTGCTGACCACGCCGTTGCCCATTCAACGTGACGTGCGTGGTTGCCAACTCCGCCGGCTTCAGATTGTCCAACGCCGACCACACTCATTTGCCCACTCAACGCGACGTGTGTGGTCTTGCCTAGCACTGTTGAGCCTCAGTATACATTTATTCTTCATTTCTCTCTTGATCTAATTACTTTTTATTTATTTTAAATTTTTATTAAATATATTTAATATTAGTCTTATTTTAAAAGTATATTTTCAATGATATTAATTTTATAAAAAAGAAAATTTTATATTAAAAATTATATATTATGAAAATAAAATGAAAAGATTAAAATAATTTTTTATTTTTATTAGAAATATGATAGAGAGAGAGAATATGTGATAGAGAGAGAGTATGTGTGATTTTAACTTTTTGTTAGAAATGTGATATATATATAGAGAGAGAGAGAGTGTGTGAGTAAGTGTGTGTGTCAGTGAGGAAGGGACGGAGCGAGAGAGTGTGTGCTGTGAGTGGAGTGTAGTGTATTTCTTCGTCTTTTTTTAAATAAACAAATCTGAGCCGTGTGTTTATTTATAGGTAACGTGGCTTCGTCTGACCCGTCGCCCGGAGGACCGGACGTGCATTCACGCTGGAGAGAATCCGGACTCAATCAAATGAGACAAAAAGAGAAGAAATGAAAAATCCTTTGCAAGCACAATCCTTTAGTCTTTGACGCCTCAATTATTAAAAATCAATGATGGGAGAAAGGGTACTATCGGAATTTGACATGAAGCTTGAACAACTTCAAAATTTTGTTGCATTTTTTTTCTTGTAATGTTCTTAAAATACACATCCTCTCGTTATTTATTTTAAACAGTTGATGTAGAATGTTTGGCAATTAGTTTTGGAACTTCTAGACGAGGCAAAGACAAAAGACATTAGTAAACCTAAGATGACACGTGCATAGAATGACATGAAATTTAGTGAAGACATGAAAACCATTATAACGATCATAATGACCCATTACTTTGCTATGGACTACAATGATATTTGGGTGGATTCTTATGTTTAGGTTGTCAATTTCACAATTTTGTGGTTTTTTGAAAATATTTCCCCTTACTCTAGATGAATCCGATTTTGTTTAAGTTTTTCTAGTATGTTTCATTTTCATTATATATATATATATATACATACATATATTTATATATATATATATAAAAATTTGAACCCAATTCAAATGTTTTTATTTCCGGTAATTTTTTTATTTTTTTAATTCTGGCCTGATTATGAAGTAATTAGCTCAGGACTTGATTCTTATTTGCTTTAGGTTTTTTCTAATATAAATTGATTCTAATATAAATTGACACGCATGCTTTAAGGCAAATCAGTTGATCTTAAATAATTAATAATATTGTGAGAGAGGGTCACTTTTTGTTAAACTCATTCTTTGTGTTCAAGTGTTCATCCTATTATTCTTTCTTGCATCAACGATACTAATGTCAGGTATTAAAGTATAATAAATTACATATTTTACAGACTAAAATAAAATAAAATAAAATTAAATGATCAAAAACTAGAGTGTATACACTATCATAATAAATTCTACTTATATATATATATATATATATATATTACATTGTTTTTAACATTTTGCTCTTATGTGAGAGCCTTTCCATTCAATTGTTGTTTTTGATTTCTCTCACTATCACACAGCAGGATTGAACATGCATATTTTGTTCCAAAGCAGTAATAAACCACAATATGCTAAGCAACTATGGTTGGCTACCAACAAAGCTTTTATTTCACAAATATAAACACACAACATGTCTTTATTGATATGATGATGCTATGGTAGAGTATGTACTAGCAAGATTAACTCATATCAACCTACTTAATTAATATCCCCAACAAAAGAGGATTTAAGGGACAATAAAGATAAACCTATAGTTAAAATAGATGTAAATCATCCATGCCCAGGTTGCTCATCATCTTCATGGTATTCTTCTGCCATTATATTTTCGTTCAGCCTCTTTACTGTCAATGGTTCCTGTGTAAGTCTCTTGTGCTTGGATTGGCCTAGATGATGGATCTAGTGTGCCGCCATACCTCCTTTGAGCTTCTCTACTGTCGATGGTTGCTATGTAAGTATCACGTTTTGGAACTGTCGAGTCCAGTACAGTCATCCGTGGTTGCGGTGCAGCAGGTGCACTAGCAGGGACTGCCCAAGGCTTTGCAGCTTCCTTGTTTTTGGCTATAAAAGGATCTGTCAAGCTCTCATCCAGAATGGTATTACCACTACTAGGCTTGTTTTTGGCTATAAAAGGATCTGTCAAGCTCTCATCCCGAATGGTATTACCACTACTAGGCTTGTTTTTGGCTATAAAAGGATCTGTCAAGCTCTCATCCCGAATGGTATTACCACTAATAGGCTTGTTCTCGGCTATAAATGGATCTGCCAAGCTTTCATCCCGAATAGTATTACCACTAGGCTTGTTCCAGTCATTGTTATTGTTGTTGTTTTTGTTAGTGTAATCAGCACCTTGGCCCATTGCCTTAGGTTTGTTGTTGTGCCAATTTGTGACAATATGGAGGCGAGGCCTCGTTGGTCTGCTGGCTTCAGGTTGAGCTCTAGTGACAAACTCCTCAACCTTTTGTGAGTGATCTAGAATTGGACTGTTGGTGACTTCATAGTCCTTCACAGGCTTCACTTGTGTTGGAGAGTTAGACCCAGACATTGCACAATATAGCTCTCGGAACTTGTTTGCTGTTAGAGAAGGCTCTTTTATGATTTCCGTACTTAGTTACTGTGGAGGTTGCAACATAGCCTTATATAGAAGAGGCTATGTTCTTTTTTGCTTCAACAATCTGTCACAATAATTGAGGATCAAATTCTTTTCTTTTTTTGTTTTTCTTTTCTTGAGATTCCACTGAGTTTTCCAATGAAGTAAATTTCAGAAGAATCAAATTCTGCTCATATATGGGATATGATATGACTTCAAAATCTGCTCTGTATTTTCCTGTGGATACAATTGTGCCTTCAGTGAGAAAATTCACTACATAGAGAAAAAATTCTTGAGGTGCTAGGCCACCGTTTGAAATGGACTCTCTATACACACTACAGCAAAAAGCAATTTTAGCAACCAAAAATGTAAATTTCGTCGCTGAAAGTAGGGCAATTGGCGACTAAAATTGAATTAGTAGCCAAAAGTGAAGACTTTTGGCGACTAAAACAGTTTAGTAGCCAAATGTATACTTATTGGCGACTAAAAATCAGATTAGTCGCTGATTACATGGGTTTTAGCGACTAAAACAATTTTAGTAGCCAAAAATGAAGGTTTTTGGCGACTAAAAAAAATTAGTAGCCAAAGGTATAGGTTTTGGCGACTAAAAAATGGTTTGGTCGCCGATTGTAGGTGTTTTACCGGCAAAAAATTTTTTTGTAGCCAAAAGTAAAGGTTTTTGGCTACTAAAAAAAATTTAGTAGCTAAAAGTGGACAATTGGCGACTAAAATTGAGTTTAGTCTGCAAAAGTGGCGGCTTTGGCGACTAAAAAACAGTTTAGTCGCTGATATGAATTTTCCTTGGATACAACTGTTAAAAATGTTGACTTACTGTGGAATAGCATTTCCCCACTAAGGGTGTAATTTTTGGCTGGTTAACTCGGTGGAATAGTTTATCCGCTTCTACATTATTTTGTTACTGGAAAGACGAGTTTTGAAGGACCCGTCTGACGCAACTTGTATGCTTTTAGAAGACGATCTCAAAACACCTAATGACTCACTACTTTATTATGATTTCTCTTAGAAAGTGTGGTGTGATTGTCTAAATTGGTGGCACATGTAGCGGATAATACCACCAAATTTTAAACATCTAGATCTTGTTTAATAGTAAAAAGATTAATAATTGCATGAATTAGTCAGATAAATATTTATTTTGTATTTATTTTATTTTATTTTTTTCATACTTGAAATTATGATCCTTATCCTCTCTTAATATTAAAAATTTATCAATTTTATCGAATTGAATATTTGCTATACATATAATCTAGTTAATAATTTGCAATCAAACATAGGATTCTGAGTCTATAAACTAATAATTTCAATCCTATTTGTCACTACAACAAAAAGCAGTTTTGGCGACCAAAAATGTAAATTTCGTCGCTGAAAGTAGGACAATTGGCGACTAAAATTGAATTAGTAGCCAAAAGTGAAGACTTTTGGCGACTAAAACAGTTTAGTAGCCAAATGCATACTTATTGGCGACTAAAAATCACTTTAGTCGCTGATTATATGGGTTTTAACGACTAAAACAAATTTAGTAGCCAAAAGTGAAGGTTTTTGGCGACTAATAGAAATTAGTAGCCAAAAGCATAGGTTTTGGCGACTAAAAAATGGTTTGGTCGCCGATTGTAGGTGTTTTACCGGCAAAAAATTTTTTTGTAGCCAAAAGTAAAGGTTTTTGGCTACTAAAAAAAATTTAGTAGCTAAAAGTGGACAATTGGCGACTAAAATTGAGTTTAGTCTGCAAAAGTGGCGGCTTTGGCGACCAAAAATCAGTTTAGTCGCCGAAAGTAGTTATTTTTAGGTGAAAATTAATTTTTTTAGCGACTAAATTATTGGTAGTAGCCAAAACTGAGGTTTTTGGCGACTAAAAAAAAATTTAGTCGCCAAAAGTGGCTTCTTTTTTTTTTAAATAAATAATTTATTTTTTACATAAATTATATTGAATATAAATAATTATGTTTATATATATAGTTTAATATAAATACAAGTCAATATACTATATAAATAATATTTTGCATATATATATATTCATGTGGGGTTATTGTGGCATAGTGGAGAGAGTGTATTGGTAGAGGTTTAATATGTGGAAGGTTGGTGGTTCAAAACTTGGGAAGATCGTAAGTTAATTTTTTATTTTTTATTTTTTCTGAAATAAGCTTTTAGCGACCAAAATAGGTGGTCGCCAAAAGCTTCAGTATTGGCGACAAAAAAAATTGTCGGCAAATGCATAAATTAAAAAAAATAATTCACTATTGGCGACTAAAAATTTATTCGCCAAATGTATAATTTAAAAAATATAAATGAGTTTTGGCGACGAAAAAAAAAATTGTTAGTAAAATAGAAGTATGTATCTATCAACAGATATATCCATAAAACAGAAGGAGAAAAGCATAAGAGTTCAGTAAGGTGCCAGCCACAACTGTCATCTAACCAGATACATCTATCAAATAAAATCAAAATTAAAACATCTTCAAAATCCTCAAGACGCTTCTAAGGCAAAACATCATATGCCAAAATAAAAACCAAAATCAACCACCTTCAACAAAGAATCCCTTTGTTTCAACCATTCAATATTGCATAACTACATAGAAACAGATGGGACAGTTGAGGCTACTAATAGACGAAATATCAACCCTTTTTCCTTCCCATTTATTTATTTATTTATTTATTTTTTAAGCCCTCAATATCTACTTGATCATCTTCCCCTTTCTCTTCTCTTTTTTAAGCAACCTTCTTTTAATTGAAACAAACTGAGATTGGTAATAATAAAAATTATAATAATAATAATAATAAACAAAATGTAAAACTATAATGCCAAATAAAATTAAATAAACTATACAATATATGACTTAAACATTACTCTTTTTTATTTTTAGCAACAAAATTACTAATTAAACTAGCATATTATATCATTTTCAATAAATAACATAATTAATATCTTCAATCTTCAACATGAAATGGTGGAGGAAGATAAGATTGTGGACTTGAATAGGTTAGATGGGTCCTCATTTATTTTTTTGGGAGTCCTTAAAACTTTGATAAAATTTGGAGTGCAAAGCAATAGCTTTGTTGGCCTATCCTCAAGGCCGACCTTAGGTGAGATGGACCCCACAGTAGGCTTCACTACCTTAATCAATTGAATAGGAGAATTTTATCCACCAAATGTCAAGGGAAAAAAAAAATCGGACTCACTACAATTATCATGCGGTAGTGTTTGGTTCATTAGAATTAAGAGGAAATGGGATGATCATGCAATTGTAATATCTATTCACATGTTTGGTTCACTAAAAAATAATGAAAAATATAATATAAATGTAATCATTATTCACCACAATAAGAAGAAAAATATTCATTGCCTTAGGAGTATTGCTCCACCCCATTCATATTTGGACAAGTATCCAATTGTCTCTCCAAAAGAGACAAACAAGTAGTGGAACCTACTATTTCAATCAATAATAGTTAAGTTGGGACACCCCCTAGATTTGCCCTTGAAGCAACGAATAATTTCTCCAATAAAAAATAGAGAATGATCATTTCAGATAAAAATCATTTAATTCTATTTTACTTTCATTTCCTAAACACAATATTAATGAACAAGTGAACAAAAAACCTGATATGAAAAGTAAGGCGAATTTTTCAATCAATTTGGATACGGCAAGAATAGGAATATATTTATTGCCGCTCCACAACAATCAATGGTAGCATATTGAAGTCTTTAAGTGAAAACAACTCAATCTCCACTTTCAAGGTGGCATAAGCCGGCACTCAAATTGGAAGTTGAACCGATTAAGGCTTGTTTGGCCACTCCTTCAATTAGTATTTATTCCATTAACTTTTTACATGCAAATTCTAGTGTAATAATGTACAAGAAAGAGCAATTAAAGAAGGGTACATTATAGTCACGTTTTAAATAATAATTCATTTGCATTTGCTCTCTGAATTTCAAAACTCAACAATTAACTCTTTTCAAATACTATTTTGTTATTGTTAAACCCACTCAAGCAATGCCAAGGGGGTGTGTTAGACTTTAAACCCATATCGCCAATCTAAGTCACTCAAATTTGGTTAATATTGTTAGAAAAAATAGTTTTATAATGACTTTAATATAAAATGAAAATAGGTCCCAACCACCTGTTGAGTTGGAATCAAATGGCACTACAAGAAAACACATTTTTGCCGACTATTTTTGGCTACCAAAACAAATTTAGTCGCCAAAAGTGTGGGAATTGGCTACCAAAATTAATTTTAGTCGGCAAAAGTCAACCTTTTAGCTACTAATTTTTTTAGTAGGGGAATGTTGATTATTAGCGACTAAAAAAAATTTAGTAGCTAAAAAAAATACAATTGGCGACTAAAAAATTTTTTAGTAGCTAAACATATCACAATTGGCGACTAAAAGAATTTTTAGTCGCCAAAGACCTACTTTTGGCTACTAAATAGTTTGGTAGCCGAATGAAAATAAAAAAATTATAAAATACCTTTGGCGACCAAAATTCTGGTCTCCAAAAACAGGGGATTCACCGACTAAATTACGTTTTAGTCGCCAAAGGACTACTTTTGGCTACTAAATAGTTTGGTAGCCGAATGAAAATAAAAAAATTATAAAATACCTTTGGCGACCAAAATTTTAGTTGCCAAAAACAGGGGATTCACCGACTTTAGTCACCAAAAACAGGGGATTCACCGACTAAATTACTTTTTAGTTGCCAAAGACCTACTTTTGGCTACTAAATAGTTTGGTAGCCGAATGAAAATAAAAAAATTATAAAATACCTTTGGCGACCAAAATTTTGGTCGCCAAAAACAGGGGATTCACCAACTAAATTACATTTTAGTCGCCAAAGGACTACTTTTGACTACTAAATAGTTTGGTAGCCGATTGTTTAATAATGGTAAAGTGTTCCTTTAGGTAATGGTAATTTCTATAGGATTGTAATGAAAAATTAATATTATTAAAATGTAATATTATTAAAATGTAATGAATATTTTTAAAATGTAATAATTTATCATTTAAATAAAATTTTCAATTTTT